TTTAATCTAAAGGAATGATGGATCTCTTTACCTTTTGTATGTAGTTCTGCTATGCATGAATTTTAATTCTGGTTAATCGAGTTTTTCGGATTCATCGTATGCTTCATGGAAAAGAAAAGTGATTACTTATTTATTATTCTTCCTTAATTGAATTAAATTTCTTCGTTTTCATATTTCTACTTTTATGTAAAAAGATGTATTATCAAAATAAAATATATCTGGAAATAATAATTGATGAATTTATCCGGTAAGTTGGAAGTTTATTTATTTGCGAATTAAATAATAGGTAGGATTATTTATTTGTATTCCACTAGAAAGCTCGAATTGTATGATAATAAAATTTCTTTTGTTCTTGTTTTTCAAATTTTTATATATATATATATATATATATATATATATATATATTGACATCAGAATTTACATTGTTGTTGCAATGTTAAAGTTTTATCAATTGCCAATTACTAGGCTTTTTGATATGTTGAATTTTATCGTTAGAGAATCTCACATTCTAATTGTCACAGATTTAAATATTAATTTACAATAATAATCAGCTTACGACCTACACAATTACTCATCGACTCATAGAAGTAAATTACTGCCGGCCCATTCTCCTTCAAATTACGCTCTTAACTGGCACTAAACAAATTTAAGGATAAAGCTACAAGCCGATGAATCGACACGTTACATGATAAATCTTACAATTACATTCATTAATGAATTATAACTTTTAGTTGTTGTTGTTTTCTTAACTTAAATAAACTAATAAGTGCGCGCAATTAGTTTGGACAATAAACAATAATAAATTACAAATAGTGAAATTTAGAAAATTCCTCTCCCGCTTTAACGGCAATCTTCGTTTTAATATCATCTAAATATTTGAAAGTAAATTATCCTTTAAAGCGGTATAATTGTCAAAGGAACAAATTAAATTCTATTACAGATATTTAAGCCATAATAAATTCTAATGGATTATTTGATCGATGCTTATTAAATAAATATTTTTTACTCACAACGACTACATGCGATATGTAATTGAAGCTCTTAAATTACTTACTATGCCGAATTTTCTAATATCTTTTAATTCCATTGGATTTTTATTTTCATAAATTTTTCGACGCTTGTAATTTTTTTAAACGGGGCCTTTAAATTTTCTGCAATACAATGGACATTTTCAAATATTACAAATATTACAGGCAGTCGAAAGCAAAGCAAATAATTTTGGAATATATAGTCTTTGTTCACAATTTCAAATGAATGAATGAATGAATGAATGAATGCAAAAATGCAAAAATAAAAAAAATAAAATAAAAATAAAAATAAATAAATAAATAAAAATGCAAATCAATAAAAATAGAATATTAGGGGAAATTTAATTCAACAAAATTATCAAGAAATTTCGTAAATAAAATTCAAAATTCTCTCGATATTTCATTAAATAATTGAAAATGAAAACTCTTACAATGCCGTAGGATTATTATGATTATTCTTCCATTCTTCTAATTATTATTATAATGCAGAAAAGTAATAATTTTTAGCTTTGCATAAATTTGTTCGATATTTTATTTTGATTAATTTCTAATCTATAGTTTTTCTTTCTCTTTTATAATTTAATTTAATGTAATTTTTTTAATGGCCTAAAAGTTCATTGTTGAACGATTATGTCAATTTATAATTCACTCTCATTTATAAACTATATATTTTTCGTTAATGAAAACTTAACAAACAACTATTGACCATTAATGTACGGAAGTATTAAATAATATGTTAAATAATACAGTTATTAGCTATTAATATGGAACAGCAATAAATAAGTAAGAATAATATGAATTTTCATTTCTAAATGTATTTGCGAGTATGGTTTTACGGGCGAATATAACGAGCTCGCGTGAAGCTTTATTGTTTTTGATTATTTATTGAAATTGAATTTCAAGCGTTATCGGAGAGAATAAATAAAAGATTTTTTCTTTCATCGTCAGTGTACGACGTGCGCTAAACTACCTTAATTCCCAACCATCATTATAATTATGGATTTCCCAAATATATGCGTAGCCTTGTTATTAATAATTTCTCCATTCGATATTCGATATTACATCAAAGTATTTGCAACGATAAGCTCGACTGAATCGTATATATTTTATTTTATTTTTTTTTAAAGCTACATCTTGGATATGAGCGGATCTCACGTTCGACTAGACTTAACAAAAGGCATTATCCAACGGAACGATTCTTTTATCGCTGCTTATCTCGGTGACAGGGCACGATAGCTCGTGCTATCGATAAAAAGAAAGTAAAAAAAAAAAAAAAAAAAAAAAAAAAAAAAAAAAAAAACGAAGAAAAATGATAAAGAGGAAAAAAAAAATATCATCCTAGTAAGAAAAAGAAAAGGGTGGAGAGAACGCGATGGACGAGGGATAAAATAGAGTCGATAAGGTAAAAACGAGTTCCCGTTGCGGAAAAGAGAAACACGTCGAAATGCAAAGTGAGACTAACTAATCAGTGCGCCGAGATGCACGGCTCCGCTACTTTTCGCACTTTAACAGGCATTTAGCCTAACGGCCGACCATCCGTTTCACGAGAGTGCGCGGCCACATTGCCTACACGCGTTATATATCGCCGATCTCGAGACGAGAAAACGTCGCGTGTTATTGATGTGAAAGTACGTACACGCACATGGCTGCCTTTCCTCGAGAGATCGCGATTGAACGAACGTCCAGCAGAAGACGGTGGCGACGGCTGCCAGAGGAAAGTTCCAATAAACTCTGGCGAGAATTTTCCTTTCCGAGCCCGGCTAGTCCACTTCATACACGAGAATCGTACTTAGTTTAAACGAGGCCCTGTTGTAAGACCGAGGAAACGAGATATTTTATTCGTACGATTTGAGAGCTGTTATTTACGAGCTTCTATACGACTATAGTTTCATAAGCTGAACATTATCAGGGATCGAAGGAAGCCAAGATTATTATTCAACAGAAAGTCTCGGCAAAGCTTTACACGATGTCCTCTTATTGTAAGAATACGGCTCTGCTCTTTTTCTTAACAATTTTACGATTTCAATATTTATATGGCTCTGTTGTTGGCTCGGCCGCGATAATCGAAGTGATTCTTCACTACCCGTTTGACGAAAGACGAATAGGACGAAGAAGATGAAGAAGAAGATGAAAATGAGTAGATAATAATAATAAAAAATATAAAAGAAAAGTGAAAAAAAAAAAAAAAATTATAAAAAAAAACAACAACAACAACAACAACAACAACAACAATAACAACAACAACTGAATGAAAGACCCGTTGGAGAAGTACATTAAACCGAGCACTAAACGTCCGACTAGTCTTCATAATGGAATGAAAAGAAAGGGATAATAAAACACGATATAAGGATTAGAATCGGTCCTCGATTTTTTTCCGAAAAATTAAAATATGAAAGGGCAAAGGTGCTTGGGCGCTGCTCGTAAAAGCAACGCAGCCCGGGGGATTCGGTAGATACTGGCGGGCGGAAGCTTGGCTCAACGTCGTCGGCTCGTTTCGTTCGGATTGATCGCTCCCACAATCGCTATGTCTCTCTCTCTCTCTCTCTCTCTCTCTCTCTCTCTCTCTCACTCACTCACTCACTCACTCACTCGCTCACTCACTCACTCGATCACTCGATCACTCTCACTGCGCCCCGTCCCTCCAGGCGATTCTCGCGATGCCGCGGCGGAACCTGCCCACGCACCTCGGCCTCGCAAGCTCCCAGAGGCGATAGCGAGAACGAGAACTTTGTCTCTCCTACCACTACTAGGAGATCTCTTTCAGCGGCCGCTCTCGCGCTCTCGTTTTGTTCCTACGAGGAGGAAAACTCGAGGCTCGAGGCTCGCTCGCCTGGTACGATCTTCCCCGTCGCGATAAGACGTTTTCAGTGTCCAACTCGTTATTACGCCGAAATAATCGATGCCACGCCTATTTACATTTCGCCCTTGCATTGACTCGAAAAGAAACGGCGCCAAAAAGCTTTCAACAACATAAGGAAATTCGTTATAGTAACAGTGCTTTAAGCCGACTATCCCCTTAAGGGGCCTTAACGGATTGTTCTACGTCAAATGGTAGCACCGATTCGAGAAGGCCAATGTAAGGGATAATTAAATAAAATAAAGAAATAAAAAAAAATAAAAAAAAAATAAATAAAAAAAAAAAAAGAAGAAGAAGAAGAAGAAGAAGAAGAAGCAAAAACAACAAAAAATAAAGAAAGAAGAAATAAAAGAAAAATGCCAGACTTATTCGCAGGCTCGACGACCGATGTAATAAGAGAGGCTCGCATATAATCGAAATGGAGTTAAGCGACACGGGGGAGTTTGAGAGAAAACAAATTTCGGTATGAACGATCGCGGTTGGAGGAGAGTAAAGAAGCGTAGCAGCGAGTAAGGTAAAGGGCAAAGAGAGCAAGGAGTGCAAAACGCGAGCGGACCAAGTTCGTCGACGACTGGTTGAGACCGACCGGGACTCGTTCCTCCCCCGGCTCGCTCTAATCGCATAACGAAGCCAAATCGAAATCAGGAGCAACAACAGCAACGGTAACGGGTAGGAGCGAGAGGAGCGTGAATCGTTAAGACGGTAAGACGACTCGGGGCTAAGCCCAACGCGGGACCAGCCCGATTGTAAGCAAGCGAGCGAGCGAACGAGCACGCACGCACGCACGCACGCACGCACGCACGCACGCACGCACGCACGCACGGACATAAAGAGTCGAGTAGGGTATACGAGGGACATTGTGGAAGAGTAGCATGAGGAGGCGATAAAGGTAGTAGCAGAGGTAGAGGCATAGGCTGAGGCAGAGGCATAGGCAGGCTAAATTCTTCTCGAACAACGGCAGCGGCGACGGCAGCGGTGGTGGCGATGGCGGTGGTGGCGGTGGTGGCGGCTGTGGCGGCGGTTGCGGTGGTGGCGGCGGTGGCGGCGGTGGCGGCGGCGGCGGCGGCGGCGCCGGTACCGACCAGTGCGACTCGGGATTCGTACGCGCGCGGTTCATCAGGCGGCCCGCAGTCTCGCCGTCCGAGAACTCCAGACTCGCCCCGAGCAAGCCGACGAGCCCGTGCCGAGAGTCGCCCAGCCGGGCAGCAGGAGAGCGGGCCTCCCGCGCCGGCTTCCCCGTCGAGGCGACGGGGGATGCGAGGTGCGCGCCCGCGGCTCGGCTCCGTAGCTGGTGCGCCGCGCCGGCCCGGCCCGATGACGCGGCCACGAGGCGGTGACACATGGAGGTGAGCTGGCGCGCAGCCGCAGGCCCGCCGCGACGCTCGCCGACTCGAGCCGCGCGAGAGTGATCGAGCGGCCGGAGGAGGCTCCGGAGGACGAGGGCCGCGCGCCGGCCGATCACCCCGGGCGCTCGGGGCGGCGGCGGCGGCGGCGGAGCCGCTGCTGGTGGTGGTGGTGGTGGTCGTGGTGGTGGTGGTGGTGGTGGTGGTGGTGGTGGCGGCGGGCCGAGGCCGCCGGGGGCGGAGAGGACCGGCGCGCGCCCGCGCCCGCGCCCGCGCCCTGCGATCGCCGGCGGCGGTGCGAGCGACCCGGGAGGAGCGGGAGGCGAGGCGACGACACTCCGCGCCGGACCGGCGAATCGGCCGCCGTCGCCAGGCCTTTCGTGTGCATGTGCGCGGAACCCGCGCTCCCGGGCGGCCGAGCCTCCTCGACGATTCCGCTCCCGGACGAGCAGCGGGCCACGCCAGGACGGCCCGCACGCCGTCACCCGAGGGGCCGACTTCGCAGTCCAGGATCCTATGCGGTGAGTGACTTTGTAATCCGTTTCAGTCACGGCTATTCACAGGCCGTTGGATGTAGTTATGCTCAGTACGTAGCCACCCTTATCGGCTTCTTATCAACCCGTCACCTCTCTCCTCCTCCCTCCCTCCCTCCCACCTCACTATACTGCTCTAGGCAACTCGTTCCACGCCCAATCCATCCCCGTCTTGATTCTTCGGTTTTCCCTAGTGACAATAGTTGGCCGTTATTTTACCCATCCGTTTAAACGAAATCTTTGTTATCCGGTAGGTATGCCTGCGAAATAGACATATTATGTATACGTGAAAGCGTGCGTGCGTGCGTGCGTTCGTGCGTGCGTGCGTGCGTTCGTGCGTGCGAGTGAGTGAGGTGAGAGAGAGAGAGAGAGAGAGAGAGAGAGAGAGAGAGAGAGAGAGAGAGTACGCGCGTACTTGTGCGTGTGCCCGCGCCCGTGTGTGTGTGTGTGTGAGACTGGACATGAAGTCAAGTTATCTCAGCTTACCGTTTAATCTTGACCGAGCAGACGCTTAATATTGGGCTCAACGGATTAACGGGAATTTCACCTCCGCTGTCGTATGTTACGTTTCAACCCTCCTCTCGCACCTTCAATTTATCAATTAACTAAGGATTTCAATGTACATCGAATGGAAATGCCCTATTATCGAACGAAGGGACAGGCTATTTTAATTAAAAAATGCCCCTACAATTCATCCCAACGTCTACGTAAAATTTTCGATCTACAGACTCGACGCGCATTTTATGCGAAATAGCGGTGACTGATATTAATTATAATTGAATTACTTGGAGATCCTTTTCCTTTGAGTTATGCACGCACCGGTGAACTGCATTCGCTGAGAAGCGCAAGTGAACTTGGAAGGGATAAAATTGATTAAAGAAATGAGCAATAGTGAAGCGAGTGTAACTAGCCTATGAGACATGTAATAACATGGCATTCTGGCATCTTATTTTTCACTCTCGACCATCTTTTCCTGAATGTATAGACAAGATGCAACAGACAATTGCGCGCAAAGCCATAACGACCGCGCTTCACCGGAATAACACATATACTTACGGATCTCTTCGTAAATGCTACTTTTCATACTGAGCGGAAGAATTTTACGAGATTAATTTCACCGAACTGTATAAGCAATCGGCACACACGGACGATAGCGACATTTTCATCAGCGCCAATCGTCACCGAAGATCGTTACGTACAGTCTCGTGCACAAAACTAACGCGCCAGACTTCCTTAAAGCGCGAGAGCTTGAACGGCCAGTTCGGCGCGTCTCGAGCATTAGCCTTAATGAAAATTCAGCGCGTCGCTAAGTTGCCGGCGAACGGCTCGAGGATTTTTCTCGTTGAGCCTCGGTCCGCTATATCTCCCTCCGTCCCTCCCTTTTCTATCAGAATCCCAATAGCAAACAGATAGAGATAGAGATAGAGATAGAGAGAGAGATATATAGATATATATAAAGATATATATAGATATATATATAGATATATATATATATATATAGAGAGAGA